ATGGTCACCACCCATCTTGAGGAGTTTGCCCCCTCACATATACTAATGTGCCACAAACAGGACTTTAATATCACCAACCATTCCCATGTTATTACGGTGTATCCATATAAATGGCCCACCCTGTAGAAATCCAATAAACCGGTCAGGTTCTATGCTATTTTGTCGCCTCCTTGTCTATTTCTCTCCCTTTTTCTCTCTCTTTCAGATAACTTGTGCAATGGGAAGTTCCACAAACACTTGCAGGACCTGTATGCCCCCCTGGTAGTCCGATATGTTGACCTGATGGAGTCTTCCATTGCTCAGTCTATTCACAGAGGCTTTGAAAGAGAATCCTGGGAACCGGTTAAGTAAGGACATCTTTATTTAATTTATCTTTGCTAACTTTTTCTTTTTCTTGAGGATGAAACCATATTGATTGGCACACATCCATTAGCCTTGCTTTGTAGTCCTTGTCAGCAACTTTTGTAGCATAAGAACATGCTTATTTTTTAATACTTGTTTCTGTGCCCACAGAAACAAGTATGAACCTGATTTCAGATTTGCTTATCCCACAAGTGCCTTGTGCAATTATATGTCACTTTCCACACTCCTGCCACAGATACGGTACTTCACGTTCTCCCTATAATTCTATTGTGTAACACCAGTAAGGACCATCTCTTATCTGCACCACATTTCCACCACTGTCAAAAGTTTTAACTCATCACCTTGAATCTTATTTTATGGAACAGGAAGATGCTCCAGGGAGCCAAGGCTAGCAAGTAGTAGATGAGGGACGGGGCAATTATGTTGATGGGCCAAAAATGTCAGTGTGAAATGATGCAGACAACTCAGGGCAAGACAGTAAAACTCTGACCTTAAGCCCTAAGCAGAACAGCACATTCCTGTGAATGTTCCTTATAAAAGTTTTAACTATGTGTCTATTGAATTTTAGTCTTGTAGACTCCACATAGCTCATTTAGGCTCAGCCCATTGATTAAGGGCTGGGGTAGGGGCTCAACAGGGGCCCTACCCTGGGCCTTGCTTCAGGGTGAGGCCCCAGTATGTGTACTTCAGGCAAGGTTTCCTGATTCCTTGTTCTCATCATCAGAGGGTTTTTTTCTTTAATCACAATCTTCAGACCTTGGCAATATTAAGTGGAATATATAGATAGTACCCTTCAAATGTCACACTGGAGCAGTAGTTCCCCTTTTCAATGAAGGGGTTAGAAAGCTGTGCTTTAACATTGGGGGACCACAATTGTTAGGAAATTACATGCCTTCTCATGAATGCAATGCAAAGCTTGTTCTGTATTTCTGGCAAAAGGTCAGGCATGTTCATGTCAGGTATTGCACTCAGTCTGCAAAATCTACAGATTATGATACTAAGTGTACTGAGGTATTAGTAGACAGGTGGCACGAGACCCACAGGCTCAAGCGACATAACACCTACAGCTCAGGCTCAGGTGGTGTGGTACTCACAAGCTCAGGGTCCAGCAACTGGGGCTGCATCACACGGCATGTAGTCTCCTCAGGCTGGGGCTGCTCAACAAGGGTTCCACTGGTTCTGAAGCCTTCTACGCTCTGGGAAAACACAATGAGCAAAGCAGAAGAGAGACGCTTTATATGCCACTAGCTAGGGGCATGGGTTAAGAGTGGGTTAAGGGTTAAGGTCTTGCTGTTCCATTCTCCAAAACCAGAATAAAGTTGACGCGTTGAGGCTAGACTAGCTCAACCAATCAGGGGAGAGACTTGCAGAAACACTGTTTGGCCAGGGCCGTAACAGAGGAATATCAGGATGCGGAGGCTATGGCTGCACAAGGAACAAGCCACACTGGAATGGTAAATGGATTGTGTTAAGAAATAAATATATATCTTAATGCTTATTTACTGACTATATTGTTTTATGTATTTTAATAATAGAGGCCTTTATAAACAAGGCCCAGAGTTGACAAAGAACTAGGTCAGAGGGTGACAAGTTGCCCTGGTAACAGACTTTAGAAAGGAATAGTAAAGAAAAGGGGAAGTTTAGTGCAGAGATGCACAGGAAGTAAGACACAAAGAAAGAGGAACTGGTACCATACAAGGAGTTGTTTTGATCGAAACTTAGCGTGTGACGTAGCCGAACTATACATATACACATTCACCTTGTGATTTTTTCAGAGCTGTGCATGCGTTCTCCATTTCCGAGTTTTGACCACACTGGGTCCAGTCTTTCTTTTCCGCCAAAAGAATTTAAAGAACTAAATTTAAGAAAATGGTCCTCATTAACTGGAAAAATAAAAATAATCTTAATTCTAACCAACATAAAAAACATCTAATAGATCACATTAGTCTTGATACAGCCTCTGCCATCACATTTGATCAATCTTTG